ACCAGCAGTGTTTTACAACTCAACCAAGAGCAGTAATTCAGTGACTTAGATCAAAACAGAGCTGTGACAACACTGCGTACAGGAGCACATGGTGACTCTGTAAAGCTGGTTTAGTTTGGGTTCTTTCATACGTTTTTTTTTTTTTTTTGACACGAACCCTGGAGTTTACATTTCATATGTGAAGAACGCAGCAGGAGATATTGCAGAAGCATTCACTACAACTGCAAAATGTCTGGATCATTCAGGTGAGGGGTGGCGTCTCAGTAAAGCATATCAGAGGCAGGACCAAACGTAAACACTCCACTGCGGATTCACATTTTGTTTACAGCACATCAACACCGAAAAACACTCGAAACACATTCATGGCACCTCTTCTTTATCCTGAGATATCTGTATTCTTCCTGATGTATTCAGACATTTTACTAGTTCCACAACGTCTCAACTGACTCGGACATTTGCATTCTCACAAACAGCCCCTCCAGAAAATTACGGGGAAAATAACTGGAGATTTGCTCACGTCTGAGAGCAGCTGATCGTGTCCTGTTCTTTGAGTATTTTCTGTCCATGTCTTTTGAACTGCGTCTGTCTCCCTCACTGTGTTCCTGTCTTCCTAACACCTCCTCTGTTTTCTGTGCAGACTACGGTTTGTTTTCAAAGGTCAGCGATGCAAGTCCATCATTCTGACAGGTGGAACACAAACATATCAGATGATGACTGATGTACATCCTCCTGCTGACAGGGATATGGAGGCAAACAAGCACGAGGACGCACAATACACTTTGTTCAGAAATGTCATGAACACACAGGATAATCACATGAGTGGCACAGACACATGCTGGCCGACATAAGAAAGAGCTCTGCTGTTGTATTTGTAAGTTTAGCTGCATACTGACACATGAGGGACAGAAGTTAGCCAAGAGGAAATTAAATGTCAGCACTGTCAAAAACAGATCCAAAACTAATTAAATTAAGCATCATGATTTTCTAGTTTTACAACAAAACATTTGTGCATCTATCTAAAAATAACTCTCTCTCTATCTCAAGCTTCACACTGCAACTGGTCTTTACTGTCCACAGCTCAGTTACTGCAAGTCACGTCTTCTGTTTCAGACAAACATATCTTGGTTTTGTTCGGGAGAACCGGTTGTTGTTGCCAGAGCGCTGATTACCTGTTCATATCTGTGGTTTGTTTCCTCATGGTTGATGCACTTATTGTAAGTTACTTTGGATAAAAGAGTCAGCTAAATGAAATGTAATGGTTTGTTTAAACTGACTAAACTGGCAACCCTGAGTCTTGCACTACTGCTGGTCACTCATCCCATCACCTTCACCCTTTCAACCGTCAGTGGCAGGTCACTTAGAGCTATGAAGAAAGATGATGATAAAGGAGAGAAAGGAGGGATGGGAGAGGAGAGTAATGAATACAGAAAGATGTAGAGTGCGGGGCCATAAAGGAAAGGTTTTGGTTTTCACTTAAACTTTTCATTAATGGAATAAAGAGAGTAGATGTACGGTGAGAAATGAATTCGATAAAAAGAGGAGGAAAGGTGCTGATAGGAAAGTCAGAGAGCTCTCTGCAGAAAGTGTGAAGGACAAAGTTGGAGAGAATGGCTGCCATCGTTTCACCTCATAAAACTGTCTTTGTGTTGGCTGAGAACGCAGTGAGCCCTGTGAGGACCCTGCCGACCGGGCCACAGCACCACACTGCAGTATAAACATTTAAACCCAATGTTTTGTGAATATTAAACTTGATGTAGCGGCGTATTCTGAGCACAGCTGAACATAGATTAAAATAATCGTTTGACATTTCAGGACACATGCTCAAATCACTTTGTTGCAAGAAACCACTCTGACTGGAAGGCTTAGCTTTGCATCAAAACTAGTGAAACAAAAATCCTGGTTCTATCTATTTATCCCTATCTATCGGATCTTAAGATAAAAAAAATCAACATATGATTTAGTGTAAACTTATATAACTTATTTTTAATTATACAATTTCAAAGCTATAGATGTATCAAGCCACCGTATCAAGGAGTATTTCCCCCATAACTGGCATGTGAATAAAGTCAGTGTGAAAAGAAGTACCTTAAATGACCATCACTGAGAAAAAATCTTTTTATTTGATCCATGTCCCATTTGCTAACATGGAGAAGTATCCAGCCACCTGGGGAATAGAGCTGCCATGTCGTCCTTTTTTTTTTATAGTAGACCAGTCAAGCGCTCCCCGCACAACAAGTAGGAGTAGGACATTTAAGAAACAGCTCGTTGTTTCCCCTTATTTCCAGTAATTATGTGAGGCTAAGCTAACTGGCTGCTAGCTGCTACTTCATGTAAAGCATGCAGAAACAACTTTCCTTAAACCCATGTTTTCCATATCCCGACTCTGAACTTCCCTTGTCACTGTCGCATTCACTGTACCTCACTGAACACACGACACTTGATGGACATGTGCTCCGAGTGATTAGCGAGGCATAATAATATTTTCGTAACCATCACCTCACCTGTAGGTGTGAGGAGGTGGAATAACTATTCATTCTCCGTCACAGCCTCTATTAGTGGCACTCTAGAAAGCTGGTGGGCCCACTTAGCACTGTAATAAATGCTCCGAGAGCCGAGGGACGGCGGAGAGACGCAGAGGGGAGAGGGGAGAGGAGAGGGGGCGACGGAGGAGAGCTGATGAAGAGATAAGAAGGATTAGAGAGAGAGAGAGAGGCGATAAGTGGAAGTGAGGAAGAAAAAGACATGGAGGCAGGAGGAGAGGTAAAGCAAAGGGTGGAAGTTGTTAGGAAATTAACAGAGTGATTTGAAGGGAAGGGATTGGGAATGACAGTAAGAAGCAAGTGAAGCTGTAGAGACACTCTCAAGCTGTCGACTGTAAAACGACCTCAGTTGTTCTTTCCTTCCTTTTTCCTCTTCTTCTGCGGGATGTGGACTGGTTACAGTTGCCAGCAGGGGCTTGGCAGAAACAGAGCTACATGGCTGACGCAGCTCGGAGGATTGTTTTTTTTAGGGTTTTTTTTTTTTTGCCCAGTTCTGTTTTGTCTGGACGGCCATTTGTGTGAATTATGACCCGGCCCCTAGCTAGACACAGCAAACATCTGCTAGCTGATTGGCTCATAAATTCATGCAGCCCCTTAACGCCCACCATCCATTGTGTTGTTGTCTGAAGTCAAATAGAAACAACAAGGCGCCCGGCTCTGCCAGGCTTGTCCCAGGTCCCTGTGGCCATGAGCGGTGAAGGACCGCCGTAATGTGATTTCTCGCTGTAATTGCTTCTGCAATTAAGGCTGTTCTTGAATCTCGTTTGAAAGTTTAATGCTGGAGATTTAGGTCAAGGCTGTGAGCGAGAATGTCGAGAGAGCAGTCACAGTTTTTTGTCAAAAAAGATTAATCAGCAACAACAAATTACAGTTATTATACACCTCTAGACTGAAAACAGATAACTAAACCCCAGGGCCATAACTACAGGGTGTTTACTGGATAAAGCTATGTTAATTCAAAATCTGGCTGGGAATATGCATGATGGTGGCAAAGGCCTTAATGTGGCTCGTGCTTTACTGTCTTTTCTTAAAGTCTCGTCTTGAAAAAGGATTTTCGTTTTGTGGTAACTTTCCAAAATGTTTTTAGCTTAATCCAGGTAAGTCCCACTGAGGTAGAAGAAACTGAAATGGACGGGGCCAAGATGGCAGCTGCAAACGTAGGTTGGAAAGAAGTAAAGTCAGTGTTTTAACATCATTTGCCAGAGATTCCAGATTCAACTATAACGGCACTTAAAGAGGCCCAGCAATCCCCATCAATTCAATCATGCTGCACCAAAATAACCACACTCACAGATATCCACTCCCATAAAGTTCCATGAAAAAAAAGTTGAAGAATGAAGTGTAAAAAAACAACAACTCCTGGATCCATCCCTGATCAGCACCAAACCGTAATGGGTTCTTTCCTGACCAATACCACATCCTAACAATTTAAGGCTGGTCCAAGTGACCGGAGCAGAGAACATGACTGCTCTCCTTCCAGCCATAGTAGAGTAGATCTAGTTTACCGTTAGTGTTGTGATCTGATCGCATGATTATATGTTGAATATTCCCCAAAAATCAATGTGGCGAGTTGAATTACTCAAGTCTGACGTGGGTTACTGTACCAAGAGCAGATGCAGATATTGAACCGAGTGTGCAGGAGTGGAGAGTCGAGAGAAACCAGGAGTTATTTGCTCCTCACTCCCATCGCAGGTTCATGCTGTCGTGTCTGCACCATGTTTGGCATCATGTGTCATGGTCCCAGTGGTTTTCTGGGAGATGAGATGCGAGGCCACCAGGTTCATAACTCCTCTACAGTTACATCTATGATGGGCATGTAGCCTGTAGTGCAAAGGATTATTTTTATAGTATTTCTTTTTTCATTCTTACCACATTTTCTATTGTGCTGTTGTGTCAATTGTTAATTTCCTCTATGGAGGATCAATAAAGGTAAATCTTATCTTATCTCCTTGTAAACTTGAAGCTGTACCTCCTTTCCAACTGTCTTTAACATCTTTAACTTGTATGTATGTGTGAGACTTCTAACCCAAGAAGAAAGTCAGTGATGGATGATAACGCTAGTTCATGCTCATTTCATCTCATGCACACACCTTCACTTTTTCTGGATTCAGTGCCTCAGATGTTTTGTGCACCCACAAGGCCTCAGAAAGCACGTGCACGCACCTCTCTGCCCTTTAACTCCGAGGTCAGAAGGAGGAACAAGAATTAAAAGCAGCTTAAGGTTGTTATGCAAGAGCTGCAGCCACCACAGAATAAGCCTCGTTAAGACGAGGGAGCAACTAAAGACCTGCCGGCAAGTCAAAAAAACTCAAACTTGAATTTACACACAGAGTAGATGATTCGAAAACACGCACCAATTCCTCCAACAACGTCATCAGAGAACTCCAGCCTTCAGTTTGAGCGAAGATAATCGATGATGAATTGATGAGTGATCATTTTGACAGTGAACACTGTGGTTACCTTGGATTCCTGCTGGCTGGGCACGGTCGCCTGTGGTCGGTGCAGGTCTCTGTTCTGTGGCTCGTTCTCCTTCTCGCTTATTTCCGTCATTTCAAACGGAGACAAACAAAAAATCTCCTTCGACTGCAAAAACTTAAATCCGACGAGTCCAAAGAAGAGGAGAGAAAAAAGCGACAGAGTGAAGAGCAAACTAAAAACACGGAGGCTTGAACATCGCTTCAGTCTCTGGGGAGGTAGAGCTGCTGTCGTCCAGTCATGAGTCTGTGGCGGCGGCGTCCATCTGCGTCTGTGGAGAAGCGGAACGAGCTATTCAGTCAAAACGCTACGTACGATTCTACGCTTAATTAGAAGAATAAGTCTAAATACGCCAAATGTGGAGGAGAGTATCCGGCTGCAGGAGCCGGTCGGTGCGCGTGCTTCTCTCCGCTCGCGTGTCTCCTCCTCGCCTGTCTCTTTCACACACACGCGCACACACACACACGGGCACGCGCTTCTACAACAACTTTGATTTCGCAAAGTGCTCGGCTCGCGCTGATTGGTCCGCACGTGTTAGAAGAGGCCTGACAGAGGGCGTCGTGATTGGCTGAGAGCAGATCAGCGTAGAGCAGATGAGGTCAATTCTCAGTCGTGGTTTATTTCTGTAAATAATAAATATGCTGTAAATATTGATACACGACAGTAACTGTTATATTTAATCAGCCATTTACACATGTGTGATGAATTACAACGAAAACAAAGTGTCCTGATTTATTTATTGACTTAGCATCTTCAAATCTTTCCACCTCTCCCAACTGTTTTATTTGTATTTTATTTTATCTCTTTATCGTCACTCATTTTGCCCTATTTCTCTGTGTTTTCTTGATTTGACTGTTAGTTCAATTTATTTCCTTATTTTTTCACTTTATCTTATTTCGTGTGTTAGCGATTGGGCGTCTCTTGTCTGGCTCCGCATAAAATGTAATTGCACTTGTACATCTCTTGAATCTTTAAATGCTCTTTGGCATTAAAGGGATGGCTCACCCAAAAAATGAAAATTCAATCATTATCAACTCAACTCTTTGCGATGGAGGGGCGGGTGAAGTGTTTGAGTCTGGCTGACATTTAGGCTAAGATCATGGCGTAAATGACCTAGTTTTGAGTCGAATTTGAATGTCAGGGCTTACAGACACTTGGATGACACCACAGGAGCAGTATGGAGGAAGCTTTTTCCATTTGAAGTGTTCACCATTTACTTTAATTGTATTGGATTTGGCTGCAACACTGTTTACCCCTAAAACTCCAAAACTGTTTCGTGAAGTCAAACACTTCACCCACCCCTCTATCAGCATAGTGGTGAGTTGCATGATGATGATGAACTAGTAAGCATACAGCAATTTGTCAATTTAATATTTGTCTGTGTTCTATTTCTGAACATCCACATTAATGCATGAACAGGAACAGGGATTCGATAACATGAGATTAGATCAGATAATCCTTTATTTGTATCATAATGGGATAATTCGCCATCTTACAGCCGCAAAGGGGATAGAAAGAAAAAATAAATAAAGATGCAACACATACAGGAGGAAACAAAGAAGTTAGAGCACAACACACATGAAGACATATAAAGATACCAATAATGTAAACAATGTAAATAGTTTATATACAATGTCAAAAAAAATGCAGATGGAGAGATACTGAGAATACATTGATCATTTATCTGCACTAAGAATGTTATAAAATGATAAATGTAGATTAAAAGTAACAGAAACACTGTTTGGGTGTAGCACAATATTCTTATAGCAGTTCACTGAGAGCTCCAGTAGCCTGGTGGAGTGACTGATTCAGCACCAGGGACAGCTCCTCTCTCCCCTATGTGTCACCAATGATCAGTTTTCCCTGTTTGTACGACTTCATGGTTTCATACTCACCAGATTATGTTTATTTTTAATGATGGAATTCCGATCATCAAGAAGGCTCAGGCTTGCTTTTATTGCATTAACAGCCTGTGCACAGTGTGAAGTGTATTCCACTGCACTGAGCTAAGTATAGGAGCAACTCAGAACAAAGGAATGGCACCGACTACTAATGATCGCTGCTTCTCACCCAAAGCAGATATGAGAAGTTAACAACGTGATTCTATCTATTTATACACATCTTTAAAAACAAAATTGAATCCATCATTTTTGAGATGCTGCAAGAAAAATTTTGAGATAGTCTCTCAGTGGCAAAGTTTAGGTCTGTACACCATGCTCCATTCCTCTGATCGTTCAATCACTGGTGGCATTGAGCAGCCTGACAGTGCACTGAAAGCCCCTGTCGCTCTCCATCACTGACATAATATCAGGTTGTGCTGCAGCAGGTAATTATGCAAATGATAGACCTTATTATTTGTATCATAAATATAAGTGTAACCGTGTGTGTGGTGGAGACAGATTTACTACCAGCTTTAAACTCTAACTAAGAACATTGTGTGCTTTTACTGCAAGTATTGTTGTGTTGCATGGATTGATTCTACATTTCCTTGTGCTTTAAAGCATTGTATACAGTTTTTGTTTCCTCCTTTTAAATAATAAAATAATGCATGAACTTTTAACCTTTAATTTTGTTTTTATTGCAACCCAATGTCCTCATGACCGTATGTGTGCAGGTTTCATAACAAATTCCATGGACGACAGAAGAAACAGTGCTATTCCTCTCTCATCTTATGCTGGAGCTTGAGCTGGTTTCCATTTTGCAGCATCATCTTTTATTAACAGCTCGGGGGAACTTTTTTCGCTCCACTTACGATACACCGTCCTGGATCCACTCATTCTCTGTCTCTGTCTCGAAAGAGACACACATTCATTCTCAAACGCAGACACAGTGCACTTTTGACATCAAGCTGTTTTTGAAGAACTCGCAGAAACGGTAAGAAATTTCAAGAGAGAAAATTTGACCTGAGATGCTAAAGGGTGCATTAACAAATAAATAAAAGTAAAACTTCCATGTAAGAAAGTTTGTATATGCTGATTTCTTTAAAAAATATATTTTGAAAGTATTTTACATTCCCAGTTATGTTTTTTCCTTGCAGCTCCTGGTGTCTCACTGCATTTCCACATCTGTCACCTAAAATATACCTTTCACACGTCTATAGGAGGATGAAGTGTGTGAGTGTGTGTAAGTGGAAGAAGAATTGGGGATTAATGTCTCATGACCTGATATGACTTCATTTAATCTCCCCATTCGCTCAAATGATCATAAATCTATTCTCTCTGTGCTTCCTCTCTCCTTCTCTGCTCTCATTTTTAAATCCATCACTCTGCACAGTGTGTCGTGTTTACTCAAGCTTGTTGCCTTTGCCAACTTTGTTTCTCATCTTTTTCCATGTGGAAAAGGAGGCACCTCAGAGCAGGTGGTCCGGAGTGGCAGCTGATGTCAGGGGGCTCTCAGCGCATAGAGTTTTTTGTTCACTTTTCAGAAGCTTTGGTTTGGTTTTTCCTTTGGTTGTGGCTTATCTGGATTTCAGTGGGTTTCCATGTGGTTACTTTTCAGCCATGATTCAGCACAGATCCTCATAGAGACAATACACTGACAATGGAGGAATACAGTGGCACCCAAAGAGAGAAGCTTCTGTCTGTAGTAGTCATTGCAGAGAGTTGGGTGTGGTGGGTGAAGGAGCACTGCACCAATTTTAATTTAACATCGTTCGGACCAAAACTTACATAAAGTCTTATGTGGCTCCAGTGAGCTGCATCAAATCTGGTAAATTGCCCGAAGTGCCTCAACTGTGCCGTTCCTCATCTTTTATTGAGTAAAGCAGCTCGAGGCTACATTAGCTGCGCGTAGCACAACACACCTGAATCCCTGACCAGATTGTTGCATTGTGGGTAATGTGGGCACAAGGGTTTAACAAGGAGGAAGTCTGTCAGCCCTGTGCCAGATAGTTTCTGCCCTCAAGTCCACAGCAGGACTCAGAGTGGGATTTTGTACTGAGTTGGTCGTGTGATGGAGGTAAAAATCATTGGAGAGTCAAACCTCCTGCCTCCTGACTGAGGCTGGAAGCAGTCAGAGTTGTCACAATTTGAATTGTTTGACTGTGAACAAATTTGTACAAAGTCTTTAGCTGTAGCTGGTTTGTAGTGGATACGTGGACAAAACCAATAATTAAATGAGTCGTGCTGACGTATAGAGGATGAAGAACAAAGAAACGTAGAAACTCAGCTGCAAATACACAAAACACAACCAAACAGACAAATGCTCTGCAGATAATACACTGTATATGAATAAAGAGTGGAAGACGCTGAGTGTGTAACACCATCCTCCTCCTCTGATGATGGTATCCAATCAAATGTGCCAGTCACCCCAGAGACCCACATCCATACACTTCTTTTGTGTGTTGTTTTGTTAATGACGTGTGGATCAATGTGTTGCTATAGGAAAATCTTTAAATCTCATTGGTCACCGGTAGAAAACCCATTACCCTGTGTATTTGCTGGTAAGGTGTTGTCAAATTGATGAAGATGTTTTCTTAATGTTTTGTGTTTTGTCGAACAAAGTACAGCAATTAAGTCGACGACTATGTGCTCTATCAATACATTTGACTTCACTTGACGTGCTGGTGCAATGCTCCTCTGTCAGGTGATGGAAACAATCTTGGATATTGTGGTTCGGTGAGTTGTACCGTGTTTAAGAATGACTAAAAGTCTCAATAAAAGACAACACGCTACATTTTTCGTTGCCTCATGAGAACAAAAAAAGCTTCAAGTCACTCAGCCTTACTCGAAGCTGCATGTCGGCGCACTAGGTGAAAAGAAAGTGTGTTATTTCAAAGATCCTTTGTCATTGAAATGAGAAAGCTTAATTTAAACTCTTTGATGTAATGAACAGCCGCAGATCGGGGCTCTATCTGGGTCAAACGTTAACCTACTCAGTCCTGATAGGAGACAAATCTCTTTCATGATGTAACAAGCAAACGTTTGCTCATGTGCGAATCAGCCTTGTTTTTTTATTTATCACTTTGAAGAGTTTTTCAGCGTGAGCCCGCTCCGGGTGGAATACACGGCCCACTTTTTTTCCCCCTGCATGGATTTGTTGTGCATCTGTGAAGTGGATCTTTGTTTTTTTTATCTGTTCATGAGTGTTTCTCTATTTTCATGACCACAAAGAGAAAAAAATGACTCTTTGTCAGAATCATATGACAACGTGAAAATGTGACTCCCTTTTCTACAGCTGATGTTCGAGCCTTTACACCAGTTTTCTGTGAATTTTGAATTAAATTTAAAGGTGTGAGCTATCCTGAAAAGAACAGGGCGACCGAGGTGTTCAGGGTGTCAGAAAAATAAAAAGGGAGGGGAGAGAAACAAGACTGAAGAAAGAGAAAGCTTAAAAGCAGTTTGTCCTGAGGAATCAAAAAGGAGACCAAGTACTGAAATCCCAATATACGAATATATTTTTTCTTTTTACGGCCTAGACATTACAATCATGTAATACCTGTACACCAGTATTGGTATGAGACCACAGAGAATGTGGCATGTGAAACTGCAGTTGAAAC